AAGATATTTTGTGCTCATTCATTATTATGGTCGTTACCCACGAAAAAAAATTTGATGAAAAAACGCGGTCGACTGCGGTAAAGACAACCGCGGTTTCTAGCGGTGTTAGGGAATCGCGGGAGTCAGACCATTTATTTGTCACGTGAAAACCGTCGAAAACCGCGGTTTTCTCTAACCGCATCCCACCGCGTTTACTTAAAACCACGATTTTCGACGGTTTTGACGAGACGAATAAATGGTCTGACTCTCGCGGTTCTCTAACACCGCGAGAAGCCGCGGTTGTCTTTACCGCGGTCGACCGCGTTTTTTTTCATCGAATTTTTTTTGATGGCTCTACTTATTTATCCATCCACTTATACATCGATCTATCTATCTACCGATCTATCTATCTATCTATCTACTTATCTATCCATCTACTTATCTATCTATCTATCTACTTATCTATCTATCTACCTATCTACTTATCTATCCACCTATCTACTTATCTATCCACCTATCTACTTATCTATCCACCTATCTACTTATCTATGTACTTATATGTTTACCTATCTATATATCTATCTATCTATCTACTTATCGGTGACCGATCAATTCGTCGGAAAACAATTCGTCGCACATGTGTTGTAGAGAATACATTGATTGAATTAAGTAATTTAGTTTAAAATGTTATACAATTAATCGCCTTAACAAAAATTTTTCTTTAGACTCTTAGAAATCTTTTGTCAGAATACAATAGTTCCTTCAAAAGTAAAATAGATCTATTTTACTTTTGAAGGAACTATTGTATTCTGAAAAAAGATTTCTAAGAGTCTAAAGATGATATCTCGAGATATCAATTTAAAACCTATTTTATAATTTAATTAAAAAAATTGAAGTTTGATTTTAAATAAAATTTTATGTTGACAAATTAAAAACTAGACCTCTACCCGGCCCAAGGCCGGCTAGAAAAGTCGGCTGACTGCAGAGCCCAAAAAATATCAAAACCTGGTCCTATACGACATCTACTATTTCTATACCCAAGAGTTGTGTAGAGGAAATCATAATGAATCTGAATCGTAGATTTCCATATAAGGAAGCTCTCAGCTGTTCATTATCGTTCATCGTCTCATCTGTCTAAACCATGAAGAGATTTTTTTAAATGCCTGAGACTTCTTCGTGGATGAATTTCAGCTATGCAAAACGATAATTAAAGTATATATGCACATAAGATCTAAGATATGAATGGTCTTTTAAGACTGAATCACGCATACCCATATAAGGAAATTATCAGCTGTTAATTATTCATTTTCACCATTCGTATATCTTCCGAACGCTGCCGAATTTCGAAAAACGGATTTCAGATGTGCACTCGTCACGTTCTCAGGATCTCGCCAAACTTTTTTTCGACTGAAAATGATAATCAGGAGCTGAGAACGAGTGGCTGACTTGAATCGTGACTCGTGTGTTGAGAAGAAGAAGAAGAAGAAGAAGAAGAAGAAGAAGAAGAAGACTAGACCTCTACCCGGCCCAAGGCCGGCTAGAAAAGTCGGCTGACTGCAGAGCCCGAAAAATATCAAAACATGGTCCTATACGACATCTACTATTTCTATACCCGAGAGTTGTGTAGAGGAAATCATAATGAATCTGAATCGTAGATTTCCATATAAGGAAGCTCTCAGCTGTTCATTATCGCTCATCGTCTCATCTGTCTAAACCATGAAGAGATTTTTTTAAATGCTTGAGACTTCTTTGTGGATGAATTTCAGCTACGCAAAACGATAATTAAAGTATATATGCACATAAGATCTGTTAAATGAATGGTGTTTTAAGAGTGAGTCATGTATAACCATATAAGGAAATTAACAGCTGTTCATTATCATTTTTGGCATCATTTACATCTCCCGAACGCTGCAGAATTTCGAAAAACGGATTTCAGATGTGCACTCGTCACATTCTCAGGATCTCGTCAAGCTTTTTTCCGACTAAAAATGATACTCAGGAGCTGAGAACGAGTGGCTGACTTGAATCGTGACTCATACGTAATTATCATTGTTTTTGTTGTATTTCTATCTCCCGATTGGAGTCGAATTTCGAAAAACGGATTTCAGATGTGCACTCGTCATGTTCTCAGGATCTCGTCAAGGTTTTTTTCGACTGAAAATGATGCTTAGAAGCTGAGAACGAGTGGCTGACTTGAATCGTGACTCATGCGTCGAGAACAAGGAGAAGAAGAAGAAGCAGAAGAAGAATTTACCAGGGCAACTAAGCGAGTGAAAAGCAATAAGTCGGCTTTGACTGTACTTCGTGCAGTCAGCCGACTTAAAGAAGAAGAAGAAGAAAAAGAAGAAGAAGAAGAATTTGCCATGGCAACTAAGCGAGTGAAAAGCAATAAGTCGGCTTTGACTGCACTTCGTGCAGTCAGCCGACTTAATAAAGTTCATTTTTTCTTCATTAAAGTTTATGTTTTCAGTAAATAAAAAGTTTTAGCGCTTTTTAATTTAGATTTGTAAATTTTTTTTTCAATTTTATATTTTTGTTTTTCATTTTCAGCTTCTTTTTAAATAAAAAGTTAAATTTCAATTGAAAAAAATGAACTTTATTTTTAATTTGTTTACATAGAATTTTATCTAAAATCAAACTTCAATTTTTTTAATTAAATTTTAAAATAGGCGTTCAATTGATGTCTCTATTTTATTTTTGAAAAAACTATTGTATTCTGAAAATAGATTCCAAGAGTCTAAAGAAAATTTTTTCTTAAGGACATTAATTGTATAACATTTTAAACTAAATCACTTAATTCAATGAATGCATTCTCTACAATACATGTGCGGCGAATTGATTAGGACGAATTGTCGTGCAACGAATTGTACTAATGCCCTACTTATCTATCTATCTAATTATCCATCTATGTAGCCACCTCTCTATCTATCTAACTGTCTATCTATGCAGCCAGCTATCTAACTACCTAACCATATAACTATCTAACTACTTATCCACCTATTTATCTAGCCACCTATCTAACTACTTATCTATCTAACGCTCTAACTATCTATGTATTTAACTACCTTTTTAACTATGTATCCAGATATGCATATATGTAGTGATTCGTCGGAGAATATGAACATCCACGTACTCAAATATATCTCCTGATAAGATTTCTAAGTACTATTCTATTGTTTTTTCTATTTATTGATTTGAAACTGAGTTACAATTTGGTCCAGTTGTTTCTGAGAAAAATTGAAAGCCCTGTTATAGGTGACGCCACTTTTCTTCTTTCGTTTTTTTTTCAGAAACGACTGAGCTAAACCTAAAATTAATTACAGATTATTAAATAGAAAAATAGAGGAATTCACTAGTGTGGGTGTGTGTTCTGAATCAATACCTGCACTCACACTCACTCCCTTTAACAGTCTTTCATCTAGTCGAATGAAAGTCGGCACATATAATTAGAAGCACAAAGACTTCCTTATTATGTCGATAAATAAAAAGACAGCGTAACTGATAAAATAAACAAACTGTTTCGTCTACATCGATCTTATTCAATCAGTGCGATTTATTCATTTAGAGACCATTTGATAAATGTAGTTAATGTTACCCTGCATTAATGCTTGGTTTTTTTTGTTAACATTATCACAAAAAATATATGTATAGTGTATATGTTTCGGGCAAAATTAAGACTTAGGCAAAACTAAATCTAGATTGTGGAAATTTTAATTGTTAAACGAAATTGAACTTGATTGTATTAATGATTGATGCAATGTAGTGTAATTACAAATTTTATAATTTTCATTCAAAAGTATATAGTAAATTCGAGATGTAGAGTTCTCTAGTCTTTTTTTATTTAAATCATCATTAGATCTAGGAAAATGTTGAGCTCACTAACTTGTTTTAACAAAATAGTCTTCAAATTTAGGAAAATGTAGAGTTCACTAGTCTTTTTCTATTTAAATCATCGTGAAGTTTAGGAGGAAAAAATGAGAATAAAAAAATATATATATATAATTATTAGTAATCAAAGGGTTTCAGAATAGTTTATTTTTTTTATTACAGATAATAATAATAAAAGTTACATATCAATTGTTTTTTCTTATCAATAACTGTATAGACGATCGGCTACATTTTATTCTAAGAATAAAAAGAAGGGAGATAATCATCAAACAATTGATACTATATGTTGTTAACTAAAGCAAACACATATAGAATATTGACTTTCTCAATTTTGTTTGTCATCACAATAATTTTCTGGCTTCTTGGGTGGGGGTGTCCATTCAGAGAACACCCCCACCCACATTTCTCAATACTCTCATACCGCGGTCACAATCATGTTCAATGTGGTTCGTAAAATCACGATTCACTGCGATATATGATATCGCCGCCATGAACATGTGCATTGCGGTGTATGAAAATGCGACTAACCGCGATATATTATAACGCGGCAATAAGCATGTTCACCGCGGTGTATGAAAACGCGACTAACTGCGATATATTATACCGCGGTCACCATAATATTCACCGCGGTTTGCTTTGAACGCGGTGATAAAAAACGCGGTTAACCGCGGTCTGTTCAGTGACACCGCGGTGTCATGTTGTAAAACCGCGGTTGACCGCGGTTTTACTCCAAAATTTTTTTCCATGGGATATATATGCACAGAGATTTCGTTTGTTTTTGACCAAGGGGGAAAAATTTTTTTTCGCAAAGAGAATCTGCTGAGAGAAAACGAAAATATTTTTCCAAAGAGAAAGTCCACTGGAGAAAAACGATAAATTTTTCCAGGGAGACTTTCTCCCAAAATTTTAGGAGGGGGAAATTCCCTCCCTTCCTTCCTCCCCTCCCCCCCTGAATCGTATGGCCTGTACATGCAAAATCTTCAATATTTATTCAGAAACACCATATTCACATTTAAACGATAAATATCTAATAGTTCATCTTCTACTTACAAGAAAAAAAAACAAAAAGAAAGCACATAATTTAATGAAGAGTAGTAATAAAACAAAGCTGAGAAAAAGTATGAAAACGATAATTAAAAAATCTCTTCATCTCGGTCACTTTCAGAATCAAGAAAACATTCATTTCCATCTTGATTGTCGAAAACATTAGTTTCCTTGTTCTTCTTTTGCAATGGTTCATCATTTAAAATAATTGTATCACATTTTCGTTTAGTATTTAAACTATCACTTGTTTTAGTAAATGCAACAGAAAATTTTTCTTTTAAAATATTCATATTCTTTTTCAAAAAGATTAATTTGTTCAATTTTTCGGAACCCAACTTGGTTCGTTTCTCCGTGAAAGTATTCTTACATGCAGAAAATTGTCTCTCAACCGATGTATTCGAAGCAGGAATAGCTAATATATCACGAGCAATTGATGCGATTAATGGAAATGATTGTTTATGTTGTTTCCAAAATGAAAGTATGTCATCTTTTTCATCACCTTCCATTACCAATGTGGATGCTAAATAATTTTCTAATTCTTTTTCAACATGATTTTTTTCTGGTGCTGAAGGTGGTTTGTCAAATACTTCCATTAATAAAATATCTAGTGCATCTAAACAAACAGATTTTGAAACTGATGTGGAGGATATTGATGATGAATATGTGGATGAAGTTGTTGATGATGTATCTAGTAAATTGGCAACAGTTGATGTAGTTGTAGATGAAAAACGATCATGACGTTTACACATTTCTTGTTTTAATAAAAGTATTGCATGTTCTTTCAAATGAGGAGTTTTATGTAAATGCTTATTGTTTGGATGAAGTACTGCCACAATAAGATGTTCATCGGTTAGTTCCTATTTTTCATCCAAACGTTTGCCTAAATATTAAAACATAATAAAATACTAAAAGATGTACGTTCATTATTTTTTTACGCTTCATACCCAAGAAGCATTTTGCTTGTTTTAAACCTTCATTATCATCATTATCAATTTCACATTTGTTGATCAAATATTGTTTGAATGGTAACACACGATGGAGTGTCAGTCGTCGATCATCACTTAAAGCTTCAATAACTGTATCAAATGGTAATAAAAACCGGCATATATCAAGTAAAAAATCGTCATTGATACGAGAATAAGTTGTTAATAATTTCGAATCCAGTATTTGAACTAATTCATCAAAAGTACTTGAAAATACATTTAACATTGCATATGCCCCATTAAAACGTGTATCTGAGTATAAAATTAATTTTTTAGATAAGTTTTGTTGTTTATGTAATCGATGAATATTTGAAACAATAGTTTTAACATTATTGAAAAGTTCTTGTGCTATATCACAATCGACTAATTTCCCATCAATTGTTTTTGTTGTAAACGTATGTTGAAGCTGTTTGTTGATGCAATGATCGCTACAAGCTATACGTTTACAATCTGTATTGAAAGTACATGTCATTGTCAGTCACAACAAGCTTTTCTGAATCCAATGCTAAACCGAAAGGTTTTAATGCATCATTAACAAACGAACAAATAGTAGATGCATGTTTATTTTCCATGTCGTATGGAAAACAACCGAGTGAAAACATATATGATTAAAATTCTTGATCAATATGACTCAGTGATATACCACAATATGATAAACCTTGATAATAAAACGTAAAAAAA